ACAGGAAGCCCTGTCTGACTTTTCTCTCCCTGGAACCTGTGCAGCTTGCGTGGCTTACCAGAAAGGCTGGCTAGATGATTTTTGGTGCTGAAATTTAAATGCACTGGTGACCTACTTTTCTCTTCTGTGTTGTGAGTTCATACTTATTATTATTCCCTTGTTAAAAAAAAAGTGATGGAGGCATAAAAGGAAGAGGGGAAACATGAATATGTCTAATATGTTGTCTTAAACTCGAAGTTACCTACTTATTTTAAATGTGCTTAACCATTGATTCTAGTCTGTGCAACTTGTGTACTTAGCAAGTTGATGTCACTGAACTTTTCTCCATCTATAATTTGGGTGCAATAAAACATGCTCTGTCTACTGAGACAAGATCAAAGGAAATTACCATATTCATTTAAAAGGGCTTTACAAATCATAAAAGCTATGCACAAGTAAGATTTATTTTCCCTCAGCCTTCTCCCCTTTGATATGTTGGTTTATCTCGCCCTGCAACTCAAAGGAGGTTACTCAAAGAATATAGATTCATTGTTTTCTAAGTCCATTTTATACAAAAAAAAAAACATAGATTTTTTAATGGCCAAGCAATTTTATTCAAAATGAAGCTACTTTTGAGTTATCACAGTGGTCCACAATATCATGAGTCTTAAGCAAAGTATTATAATAGGCAGGAGCCAGCCAGCATGTTTTTCCCCAATAAGAAAACCTATTAGCTGATAAAAAGAGAAAAATGTACTTGTGAAGCTGCTAATCAATATGCTAATTGAAAAATTAGTTCTTTGTTGTCAGATTCATCATCTTCTGAAGAAGGAAATGTGGGATTGCTTAAGCAGCCTGCCTTCTGCCATTCTTCTGAGACCTGTCTCTGATACCTTTCTTTAAGGCAAATTTTGAATGATCAATATAACTGAGTTTTTATTCTCTGCCATTTGCTGCTGTGACTCAGTGCGGCTCACTTTTTGGTGATTAATAACTGGCTAAGGCAACTTGCCTGTGGGCTTGCACAGGATTTCCTGTCCAGTCATCAAGCCATTAATCTGGAAATATCAGCAATGGGGCATTAATCATTAATGCTAAGACTCAGTGCTGTTACCAGGCAAGGGATGAGAAGGCGTGCAGAACGTGTCCACTGCTAGAAAACAGAGTCCAGCACCTATTTCTAGGCTCCCAAATTATGCTACTTAAAAATCATTTATCAACCATAGCCTGCTTTAAAAATAAAAGCAAATCAACAACCATTATTTGGCATGTGTGTCGGTTGTAAAGAAGGGGAAACAGGATTTTAGAGAGCTCATAATGGTTATAGATCACACACCTGAGGGCTAGTGGTTATATCTGTAACCTAATGTCCTTCCTCTCCAGAAGATCATGAGTTTTGTTTTTTAATGCTTTTTGATGGATTTTTAAAAACTACTAACAATTACCATAAGATTTTCCTAATTATACATTCAATTGTTTGTATTAATAGAATAGAAAAATCAAATACAAAGAAATTATGGAGATTCACATTCAGACTTATGTATTTACTCCAATAAAGTTGTAGACATCTCCTAGCATACTAATGTGCCTTAAAATTATTCGATTATAGAATTATTTAAGGTGTTCATTAGTTAGAGGCTTAGCTATCTTCTCATTCTTGAGAGACAATATCTGACACTCGCAATTTAAATGAAGAAAGATTTTATCTTGGCTCTCAGTGTGCAGAGGTTTCAGTCCATAGACAGCTGGCTCCCAGGCAGGTCAGCATGGCAGAGGGACGTGGCATGAGAGGAGTGCTCATGGACGGCAGACAGGAAGCAGAGAGAGCAATCAAGGAAGGAGGGAGGGAGATCCCTCCATGCCACGTCTCCAGCGACCAATCTCCTCTGATCAGGCTGCACCTCCCCATGTCACAGTACGTGGCCCAGTAGAGCTATAGACTCATCAGTGTATTAATCTGCCCATGAGTATCAGGCTCCCATGATCCAATCACTTCCCAATATCCTCATTCATGGCCTAAGAAGCCATAACAGCCACCCAAAACTCAGTTGCTTAATGCATTCATCTATTGTCACTTACAGAGCTGTGGGCTGATTCTGATTCCCGTGACTGAGTAGTTCTGCGTTCAGCTTGATTTGGCTGATCTTGGCTGGCTCACATGTGTGTTTTGCACTCAGCTCTCAGGCAGTTCTGGATGGTTTCACTCATATGTTTGAAAGCTGGCTGGCTAAAAACTAGGGTGGTAGGGGACCATATGTGTTGATAATCTAGCTTGCATTACACAGTGGCAGCAAACTAGGGGAGAAGTGGCAACAGACAGCCCTCTTGAAGTACAGGTTCAGAAATGGGCTAGTGTTACCTCTGTAATACAGTGTTGGTCAGAACAAGAGTAGGTTGGGCTTAAGGGTAAGAAAATAGACTTCACATGCTGACAAGAAGCACAGCAATCACACATTTGTAAATCCTGTGGATATAGGAAAACAGAAAATCATCTCTCTTTTCAAAAAATGCACTTCAAGGCATATATTTAGGAATACAGATTCCTAGGTTCTGACCTTAGCAAAATGGCAGCCATCTTCAACCAAAGAGAGTGTACTTCTGAGGAACCAAATCTTCACTTTGGTCCTGTCAGCCACCAGAATGGTGAAGAGTCCACGTTTATTATTGAACCTACCCAGTTTGTTGCATTCAGTTACAACAGCCCAAGCAGATTGAGCCACCCAAACCAAAAACTCATAAAAATTAGAAAATGCCTTAGGTTTTGCCCTTTTATCTTCTGGTTCCTCAGAAGCACACTCTCTTTGGTTGAAGATGGCTGCCATTTTGCTGTGTCTTCATGTGCAGAGAGGAAGTTCCAGGTCTCCTCCTCTACCTAAAAGGGCACCAATCCTGTCATGAAGACTACTTTCATGATCTGCAGAACTTCCAAAGGTCTCGCCTTCTAATACCATCACCTTGTGGGTTAAAGCTTCGACACATGCATTCGAGGTAGGGGTGGGAGTCAAACATTCAGCCTGTAACATACCTTGTATTTCTGAAGATACCAATTGCACCTCTGCTGAAAAATGATTCGTTTAAATCATAAAGTCCTGGAAAATAAGCAGGAAATACTTTCCAAGGAGAGGAGGGACCTGAGAGTGTCTGGGGAAGAACATGGGAACTTGGGTGTTCACTGTTCCCAGAAAGGCCTTTTGTGGACCTCAGGAGGAGACAGCAGTCCTCTAGTTGTGGGGGGCTTTTGGGCCAGGGCCCATGGGCATCTGAGGGTGTGACTGGCTAGGGCTCAGGGAAAATTCCAGAGCCCAGAGGCAGCACCTTGGGGACACCACGATGTCTTGAGCCTGGGCTTTATTGCACAAACGGTAACAAAACCCACAGAAAACAACAGAAACATCACCCCTAAAGTGGGAATATTCAGAAATGAAATAAATAGCATGTAAGTAGTTTATTTTATTAAAAACAAAAAGGAATAATATTAGCCTTTAGGTCTTATTAGTAAAGGAGCCAGCAGAAGAAAAGATATGGCACAGGAAGCAAGAAGGATTCCACGATCCTCGGGGAACTGCTGCTTGGGGGAAATCCAAATTTGGATCACGCCAAGGCCATGTAAGATGATCTGGGAGTCACTGCTCTGAAGTGGCTGCCAGGGACCCAAGGAGAGAAGCAAGGCTCTGACACAAACCTGAGACTTTGGACTTAATGTGTTCTTTCGGCCAGAGCACAGGTCATGTCCACGAGGCCAGACAGAGAGGTTTAGCAGTCCCTAGGCTTCCTGACAGCCACATTATCCATCTTTTCTCACAGCCTTTGCTGTCACCTCCTCATGGAAGAAGCAGTGGCTCATGTTCACCAAATGGCTGCCAATATCTGCAGTCTAGATTTTCTTTTTATTTGTATATAAATATATACATATATCTCCTTTTATACTTATACACATATATATCATTATATGCTTATACAGTGTATCAATAATATAAAATTTGTTATCTATAGTATAATACATGTAGTGAAAAAAGCTTATAAGGCTGGAATGGAACCATCTCATCACCAGAAAATTGGAATGCTCTACACAGGGGGTCTTAGACTAACCTTAAAGGCCAAGTAGATTAGAAGGCAGGCGTTAGCTTCTGACAACAACTGTCATTGGTTTCCTTTGGATCTCTGCACTTACTTGTTATGTTTGCTCAGTTTGCTTTTTATAATTTATAATTTATGGAGACTGATAGGAAATTGTTTGTTAAGTAATTTGAGGGTTAAAAGAATTCATACACGAAAAGCAATCAATACTTATCGGCTATTACTCTTTGCTTAAAAATATTTTTGAAAATGGTCAGAGCAGCTTGTGGCTAATTTAAGTACTTTCAGAGACAGGCAGGTCAGGTCCGTGCATGAAGTCAGGTACAGGTCAACTCCGCAAGACTGACAAGGTTCCTGTGAGTTGGAGGGCGCTGGAACATAGCCCCTTCTTGTCTGTATTGCCAGGTCTTCTATATCAAAATAAGTTGAATATCAAGATTTTTAAATGAAACTTTTCATTTTTTGAAAAGCTGAAAGTGTCTTGCAAATTTTAAACAACTCTGCGCAGGCCCAAGAGCATGTCTCTGCCCTAAAGCAGAAGTAGCTTGATGAGCACTGAGTGGTGCCAGAGTAGCAGGAGACGTGTTTGGAATGTGTGGGTGGAGAAGCCCGGACAGGCCCCACTGCCAGGGAAGGGTATGAGTGTTGTTCAGCATAAAAACCAAGCCTGGAGATTTAGCTCTGCAGCTCAAGCGCTTGCCAGGTAAGTGTGAGGTCGGGAGTTCGATCCATGATACCAAAATTACAAAACAAAGCCCAATGCAAATGTCTCTTCCATGTTTTCTGGAGAAGCAGTTGTGCTGATTGCTTAGCTGGTCATCAGGTACATAGCCCTTCACTGTCACCACACACCGAAATTGAACCCTGAAGGACTGCAGTTGTTTTCTCTCCTTTTTAAACTTGATTTTCACCAGGCTTCCTTATCCATGACTCCCTTCTTCTAGCTGGAACTTGGCTCAGCACATTCCTGCCTGCTATTGCTCTGCCCACAGTCTTATTTGGGAACCTGAGTTGGATTTGAAGAGAAAAATGGACGTACGCGTGGCCCCACAGAACCTCCCTACCAAGGAATGAACAGGTAGATAGAAATCAGATGTTGCAGAACTGATTCCAGTCCACCTTTATGTGCAGCCAATACTTCCATAAAACTCTTACTGGAGTCCTGACCTTGCATTCAGGTAAATTTCCCAAAGCATGGCCTTTGTCCCAGCACTTACATCTGACACTGAGTTAATTTTTGAGATTTTGCAGATGGGCAGGATGGTGCAGAAAAATTATCTAAGTAAGACCTATTGTATGTTAAATGTATATAATAAAAAGATCTACATTGGAGAATTCAGTATATTGTTTCCTGGCCAGGGCCAGCTTTTGTTAGCTACATGAATCTATTCAAGTTATTACTATAGCTTACAGTGAAATGAATCAATATTAAAACCACAGAGGTTCCCCACAGCTAGTCAAAGACTTATCTAATTACCTCAAACTTACTCTCTCCAATTTCTTGATTTGTTCTTGAAACTACTTGTATTTGCTTGTTCTAAAAAAACATTATGTGGTCTCCTTCTGGGACATATATCTTGAAAGGTTCAGTCTGTTGTGTCTTTCTGCTCTCTGCCAGGGACTCTTCCACTCCCACCACAGAAGCCTGCCCTGGGCCTCTGGACTTCACTGAAACAGGAAGTAGCCATAAGGAAAATCAACAAAGAAGTAACTTGATGCGAGGCTGCTGGACTGTGGAGGTCCAGAGGGAAGAACGCCATCCTGGTCCAATCAGATCATCCTTCTGTGGATAGTGAACGAGCAATTCACCAGCAAAGAGCCTGAGGATGCTTGTTCTCAGGGATAAGACGGTTAAACCGCTGGGAAGGTAGTAGGTACTCAGTCTATTGGAGTGAAGTAAGCCATAATTTTTTAGGGGAGAGTGTTTCATCTGTGCATCATTCATCCATTAAAATTGCTTGAATGGCAATGAATAGCTGTCAATAACCTGTGCACTGTCGAGGACACATCTGACTTCACCTTAAAAAAGAATTTAAGTTTACTTTTGCAGTACAATATAAAGTCAAATTTCTAATTAGGAATTAAATAACAGATAGTGAATTTTGATTCCTTAGCCTCCCCAGAATCTTCTTCTTTTGATCTTTTCAAATATCAGAGAATTTTTCTTTTAGCTCCAAACTTCTTTGAGATTTCCCTCATTATTATGCTTAAAACTATAACCTACCATTCTCCTCACCAACCTCTCACCCCCTTTACCTGGTCCTACATTTATTTCATCACACTTAGCACTTTCTGACATAGTGTATTGTTATTTCTTTTCTGTAGTCTCTCTTTCTGTGTCTCTCTCCCTCTCCTCTCTTTCTTTTTCTCTCTCAACCCCCAAAAATGTCAATTCCAAAAGCACAGAAGTTCTTGTCTGTTCAGTTTATCACTGAAATAGTTCCTGTGCATAAGATAGTGCCTGGAACATAGGAGGAGCCCAATAAAGATTTGAAATCTGACAACTCATGACTGAAACTGTCTCCAAAATCTCTTCCTGCCTTCTCAACTCCAATATTCTGGATAGATTCTATAGTTTTGGTGGGTTCTCATGTTGAGCCACTCATACTTTGCTCATAGGGCCTCTGGGGAAGGAGAGACTGCTGTTTTCCCCTGTTCCGGGCTACAGGAAGTAGCTCCAGGTCGATGTGCTGTGAGTTTCAATGCAAGGTTTTTTCTTTGCTCTCAGCTGGTCAGAGGCCCCGTGCACCACTACCTGGGAAAACTTCCTGGCTCTTCTTGGCCTATTCAGTGACGAACATGGGAAACCCAGAGTGAAATAGACTTACTTAGAATAAGTCTAAATAAATAAAATTAACTTTGAGAAGTGACTTTCTAATCTCTAATCATTTTAGCATTCTTTTAAGATAAGTCATATGTTGCCCATGTACAGCTGGGGAAAGTGAAGCCTGGGGAGCGACTTGTTCCAAAATTTTCTCACCCTCACACAGTTGGTCAGTGGAAGGGATAAACAAGTGGCATTAGGAGAATCTGGAAATATATTCCTTCCAGTCACAAAATCTGGAAATATATTCCTTCCAGTGATGACTGGAAAATACCAGTCACAAAATTGCACTGTGGCTCTCAGCTGTTCCTGGGACTTTCACTTTTTTCTTTCAAACCTCATTTAGCTGAAGTACTGGGGGCTGAGTTCACCTCAGGGACACTTGAGAGCCTAAGTCAAGGAGAAGTATACATTCTAGCTTCTGAGAGGCACTGGATCTGTCTGGAAAGTGAAGTATGAATTTCCAGGTTCGAGAAGTTCGAGAGATCAGATATTTGGACAAATGCATGGGGCAGTTGCCTGCAGCTTTGCTAGCAGTGATGGCCTGGAGTAAAAGTCAGCAGACAGAAGCTCCTTCATGCTTTTCCTTGATGGAAGACAATCCTCTCTCCTACAAGGAGCCGTTATGGATCTGTCCCTGACATTACTTTAGAGGCTTAAAGGAAAATGAAAGTTAATTAGGAAGTTCCCCACACAGTGAGTTAGAAAAATGAAAGAGAAAATGACTTAATGAGATCAGGGCAACAATAACACCATTTTTATCACTAGAGATATAAACAAATGGTTCCCAAGTTTCTCTTGAAGGAGACTCTTCACTCACAGTGCTCCCAGCTTGACTCCTAGGACTGAGACCCATTCTCTGTGGAAACTCCTCCCTCATCCCTCAGGGGTCTAACAGCAACAAATAACTCTCAGGCTTGAAGCAAACTCTCCTTGGGATGGAAAAACAAACTTCCATTTATACAGAGTCCAAAGGTTCAGGGTTCCTCTCACCGTTTTTAGGGTAGGATATTGCTTTTAATAATTATGCCTGGCTTCTAACCAAACTAAAGAATTCACTACGGACTTATCTATGGCCAGAACTATCTTCCCATGATTCCAAGTCTCTTCTTTCATCTCCACTTCCTCTCCTTTTTCCCAGTGTTTCCTTTATTTTTAATTTGGCCTTAGCCTTTTGGCCCTTACTTCTAAGGACTGGTTTATCTCTTACTGACATCCAACTGACTGTCCTTTGGTAACAGGTGGTCCTTTAGGGTGATCCACTGAAACAGGTTCCTTCCTCTAAGGCAGTGGGAAGAGAGGGTGCAACATCAGTTCTGTTGGGCAGATTCAGCACCATTCAGAAGTTCTAGGACTGGTAACATGCAAGGATGAGGCACTTCTCAGAACACCAGTGCTTGTGCTATTCACTGACTAAATCCTCCAATACAAATCTTTGATCTTCTGACAAACATGCTTTGTAACTCCTTTTGTCAGGGAAGGATTCTCATCCTATTTAGAATTCTTCCTCCTTTCTTCATTTCTGTTCATGTTTTAGATTTCAGCCCAGTTATCACTTTCTCAAAAACGCTTCTCCAAAGATTGGATTACGATATATTGACAAATTCCAATACAGAGGGTCTCAAAATATGCATGATTCTTAATTCAGTATGGAGAGAGGCTGGTTTCTATATTAGCTGTTTGCACAAACTGCTTAGTATTGCAATTTACTTTATTAAAAATGATATAGTAAATAAAGGAAAAGATGTGTTATGTACATGTCCACACAAGAAATATAAACATATTGTACTACAAACATGTACTCAAAAGAATGGAAGATCAAGAGGTGGATGGGAGAGAGGGAAGAGAAAGGAGATGAAAAAAGGAATTAAGGTGATTATGTACAAGTTCCAATTTGCCAAAGGAAGGTAAATATTGTGTACTGTAATCATATACTAATAAACGGATACAGCAAGATAAAATAAACTATAATGCTGTGCAGTTATAGAATTCTGTTTTCTTTAATAGTAATTAACATAGTAAATGCTTCTTAAATACATAACATTTAGTTATTGGATGTCTTCACTAGGTGATAAATTGCATGCTTGTTTTGCTTATCTTTACATGCTCATTACAGGAGCTCAGTAAATAATTGCATAATAAATTTTGAGTAATGCTATAGTTTGTTTCCCCCACATATTGTATGTTAGAAACTTAATTCCCAATACAAAAGTGGTAAAAGGTGCAATTTTGAGAGATGACTGGGCCACAAAGGTGCTGCTCTCACTGGTGCATGATGCAAATTATAAAAGAGCTTGAGGTATGAGTTTGACATCTTGCCTGCTTTTCAGCTCTTTTATCATTCTTCCTGCTGCCATGGATATTGCAGCATGAAGTCCTGTAAAAGATGTGGATCCTGTATTTCCTGAGCTCTAGAACTGTAAGAAATAAATTTCTTTTCTTTATAAATTACCCACTCTTTGGAATTCTAGTATAGCAACACAAAATGGTGAGGACAACTAACAGCGTGATTCAGTAGATGTTTACATATTTAGTGTGATAGTAACATAGACCTTGACACTCACTTAATGCAAATTAAGTTGTATCCGGGCAGAATAAAGGAAAATCTTCTGGAAGTGACACTTGATCTGAGCTCTAGATTGTGATCCCCCCCCACCCCGACAACACACAGGTGTGGGAGACTGTGGTGACATTTCAAGTCGGACAATGTGGCAATGCAGATCTTGGCAGTGGGAGAGAATACCATTTATCTGTTTGATGAAGACAAAGAACTCAGCATGTTTGAGAAATAGGGTGAAAAACTCTGAGATCAGACAGGTAGATAGAGGGTATATTATGAAGGCCTTTGAGGCAATCTTAGTGACTTTTCTCATTGCTAAGACAAAGTACATAACATTCAGAGTTATAGGGGGAAAGGTTTATATAGCTCACAGTTTGTGGAGGTTTCAGTCCATGATCAGTGGGCTCCAAGGCAGGGTGGTGTGGCAGAGGGACAACAGTTTGTGCTGGTGGAAGACAGCAAAAGCAACAAGAGAGAAAGAGAGAAAGCAGGGTCTCTCCCTCCCTTACACTGTAAGCAGGCACTCACACTTCCAATACTAGCACCAGACAATGAATCAGTCACAAACTTTAGATTTGGCTGCCTCCAAAAAGCTTGCCCTCTCCCATGATGGCATGAAGCTTTGAGATGTCCAGATTCAAACCTGCCCCTGCCTCTCAGAGACTCACACTCATCCCTTCATGTAAAAGGAATTTAGTCTATCTCTAAAAATTGCCAAAGATCTAACAGTTTCAGCACTGCTGAAAAATCCAAGTCACAAGTCTCCTATGAGAAGTAAGGCAAACTCTTAGCTGTGAGGCCCTGCACAAATAAAAATAAACACTTTCAACATTCAATGGCACAAGATAAATATTTCCATTCTACAAGTTATAAACGGGGGATATAAAGGATTGAGACCAAAGCAAACTCCAGCGGGGGCAAACATTAAGTCCTGTAATTCCCCATCAGCATATTCAACAAACTGAGGCACACTGTGAGCTGAAAAAGTGCTTTGTAGCTCCCATGGCTTCTCTCTTTGGCTGTCGTTGTTAACCTCCCTTCAGGTTTCCTTAAATGATCCATGTTCCTGGCTTTTCCAAACTCCTGGGGTCTGCACTACTCCTTTTCTCCACACTCACAGATTCACATGATGCATTCTCAGAGGCATATTGCCTGGCCTCCCAGGCCTTCTAAAAATGGCATGCGAGTCTTTCTAACCCCACAACTCTTGCATCCTGCATCTGCCTAAAATCAGCACAATGTGGATGATGCCAAGGTCTGCTGCCAGCTGACATAGTAGCCAGGCTTTTGTCTCTCTTGGCTGTAAAGTTCAAGTGCCTGGAGCACTCTGAATCCAATTATGAGGAACAAATTTTTTATGTTGCTGCCATTCTGTAATATGGTTGGTTCTCAGTGGCTTTCTTCTCAAAGCAAAGTCTTTCATTTCTGCAATTCAGAGGCTGCAAATGGTGCAGTCTTGCTGCTTCTTGTGATGCACTCAGCCTTTTTTATTCTCCCATTCTTTCTCAGCAATTAAGATATTGTCTGCTCTATCTTTGCAGTCCACCATTTTATTGGATTGGAGCTTCATTTCAGGTCAAATGCACAATGGTTTTTAAATCATTTTTCTGGAGTTTTTTGCTCTTGATTCTCAACATAAATCTGGCTAAAATTTTCCAACAATAGCCAGGCTACCACTCAACATTTGACTGCCTTGAAATTTTTTTCTGCAGCTTTATTAGTCTGCTGTCTTTAATCTCAGCCTCAGGCAAAGTCTCTAGACATGAGTAAAATGCAAACACCTTTTGCTGAATCATAACATACCTCATCTGGAGTGCAATAGCCAATGATGCCTTTCTGCCCAGCAGAAACCTCCTGAGCTTGGTCTTTGCCAGTAGGATTTCTATAAGCCTTCTAGTCTTCTGAGTTCTGATCAGAATCTCCCAAACAGAGCAGCCTCAGGTGTTCCCGGTCTACTTATTCAGTCAGTGTCTCTGAATTTTTCCAAACTCTTCCTACAAGCCATTCTCAAAGGCC